CTATAAAGAACAAGAATGGTCCGGTGTTGATAGCGCGTGCCTTTAATCCGAGCACTCAGGAGGCAGAGGCAGGCAGATCTCTGTGAGTTGGAGGCCAGTGTGGTCTACAGAGTTCCAGGACAGGCTCCAAAGCAATATAGAGAAACCTTGTCCAAAACAAAACAAAACCAAAAAAAAAAAAAAAACAAAAATCCCACAGGAATGGAGAGGAAGCTGGGTATGGTATGGTAGTGTATACTTGTGATTCCTGTACTTGGGAGGTGGAGGCAGAATGATCAGGAGTTGAAGACCATCCCAGGCTATGTAGTGAGTTCCAGACCAGCCTGACTCAAAAACAAAACAATGGGAGCTGGCAGAGATCTACCTGTGGTTTCTTTGGTGACCTGATTTTTCTGAGATTCTCCATTTTGTGAGACTGTGGAGATATGTGTGTGATAGAGACCTAGATTTTCTTTCCTTGGCATTTTAGCTGTTGATGTCCTTATTAATTCCTGGGTGATTCTCATAGTTTTATTTTATTGAAACTTCAACCTGACAATAACATACAATCTTTGGTGGGAACCAATTGTGTATTTGACAGACAATTTTATAGAACAGAGAATAAATCTTTCAGGGCTGGGACTATAGCTAGATGGTGAGTGCTCCTTGCCATGTGCAGGCCCTAGGTTTGATCCCTAGCACAGAAACAAGAGAAAAATATATATTCCAAGAGAAGGGGAGGAGAAAACAAAACAAAGGGAATGGAGAGTTGGCTCAGTGGTTAAGAGCACTGCTTGCTCTTCCGGAGGACCCAGGATCAATTTCTAGCATCCGCATGATGGCTCATAACTGTCTAAACTCTAGGTCGAGGAGATCTGATGCCCTCTTCTGGCTTTCAATGGCAGAAGGTGTGCATGTACTGTGTAGATATTCATGCTGGTTAGCAAATTCCAGGAACTAAGTCACAGTGGCCTTGGTCAGCTTTCTGGGCAGACTGCCTTTCATTTCAATTATTTGGGCTCCATTTCACTTCTTTGCTAGTTTAAGTCTTTCAGTTTTACACTGCCAGGCTTTGTCTCAGGTCTAGAGGATGAAGAAGTAAGCCATCTCGGAAGTTTACCATCTTTATTACCTAGTCATGGATGGCTACCTATCTGCCTGCCTACTTGGGAGTCTGTCCACTTCCAGTCCCTCAGTATCTACTTCCATTGAGTGACTGGTAATGGGGAGGTAAGCACCCAAACTCCTATTAGTTTTGTTACTAGATCCAAGATGGTTTCTCACCACTCAAAGGCCAATATTTAGTCAAGAGTTGACAGGAAGGAAATGGATTCATTCAAGCACCCTGAGGAGCAGAGGAGGAACATCTGCCCTTTCAAAAAGATCATCTTAGAGAACTCTGCACTGTAAATGAGCTCTTAGAGGGAAAGAAGAGGCATGGTGGGGGGCGGGGGTAGTGAACAAGAAGGTTCAGTGCTGGGTTGGGCCTTCCTCATCTTCCTCTCCCACAGCACGAGTCTCTATTCTTTTTTCCTGGCCAGTACATTACAAGCTACCTTAGCCGGTACATTACAAGCTACCTCAATCGCCTAAGGCTAGTTCCTATAAGTCTAAATGTCAGATGGGTAATGTGCCAACATTGTAACAAGATTTAATGGGCGGCACCCATCACACAGTGTCATTAACTCCCAATCATCACTAGTTCCTATAATTCTTTTTTTTTTTTTTTCTTTTTTGAGACAAGGTTTCTTTGTGTAGCTTTGGAACCTGTCCTGGCACTTCTCTGTAGCCAAGGCTGGCCTCAAGCTCACACAGATCTGCTTGCTTCTGCCTCCCAAGTGCTGGGATTAAAGTTGTGAGCCACCACTGCCAGCTAGTTCATATAATGTTTTAGATGAGCATACTACTTTTCTGCACCTTGAACTTCACAGCAGTGTGCATGCGTTGTGTGGTTGATACACAGACTTAACAATAAGGAAGGGTGGTATACATTTGCTGTTACCCAAAGGTTTCTCATTACACTATAAATCCAAAGAAATATTAGCAGTTACCAACTCAGCCAATTACTTGTGGTGTCCCTAGAATTTAGGGCGAAGAAGTCAAAGGGCTACACGGGAAGGGGCAGCTACTGTTACTGTTTGGAGATCATGGGTGGAGTTCCTGGAGAAACTTGTATGACACCAGTGTGTTTTTATAAACAGGGTAATCTGTCCCCCACCTTTCTCCTCATCTTCATTTAATGGAATTTTTGGGGAGCCCCATCAAGGGTGCCACCTGTTGCTAGAAACTGAAAACCCTTCTTGAAGTTTTTAAATCTATATTAATAAGAGAATTTAAGAGTGAAATCAGTAGATGGGAGAGCTGATATGTCCCTCTCTCCCCCAACCCTTGCTTAGACAGCATGGGAGGGCTGGCCCTGGCTGCTTTCCTTGAGAGAGCCTTCTCCTGGGCAATGTGGTAGAACGGGCCCTGGTGGCCTGGCCAAGGAAGAGCCACCCGAGGGTGTACGAGTGGGAGAGCTGGTCCTACCCCTGGCCAGGCAGGGCTGGAGAGCTGGCCCCGATGGTGTGAGGGCGGGGGAGCCAGTCCTGCCCCTCACCTGGGCAAAGCAGGAGAACTGGCCCCCGTGGCACCAGCGGGCATAGGAGAGCAGGTTGGTTGACCAACTCAGCTACTACCCAGGCCCAGATCCAGGGCTTTGAGTTGGCCCACCCCAATGTCTCGTATCTAGGAACTGCTGGAGCACCCCAACCTCTCCTGTATCTAAGGACTGCTGGAGCACCCCAACCTCTCCTGTATCTAAGGACTGCTGGAGCACGTGACAGGCCTGCCCTGCAGAACCAAAGCTGTAGGATCTCCATGACACAGGCCAACAGCAGGAGAGCCAAGAGGAGTCCTGCTGAGCATCCAGTATTGTTAGTGTAGCAGAAGCCAGAGGCCTCGGACCAGACCAGTGACTCATTGCACTGGACATTTGCAAGAAAAGCTGTTTGGGCAAAAGGCAGACTGTGTGACACAGAGTGACACACTGCAGCTTCTACATCAAGATGTTTTTTGTTTTGTTTTGTTTTAATTATTTTTTGGCATGTTTATTTATTTATCTTTTGTTGGGGAGGTTACAAGAGCTGAGGGCAGATATGGAGGGACAGGGAGATGAGTGGTATTGGGGTACTGGCGTGCATGATATGAAATTCACAAAGAATCAATAAAAACTTAAAAAAAAAAAGAATAGCCTCAGGAAAAAACCTGAGGATGGTTTTATTAGAATTTAAAAGAAATATTCCAGGGCAGGCAAAGCTGTAAATCTTAGCAGATGTCCAGAGGAGGAACATGGAGGGAGAAAGAGAGAAAGTCATGCTTTTTGAGTTAGGCATTCAGGTACAACAGTGGAGTTCTGACTCATGGCAGAAGGCAGGGTGGTGGTCTTCATCAGAAGAGCATGAAAGCCCACATTGTCTAGGAAAGCATGTCTAAACTTTACAATATCCAAAAGAAGAAAAAGTTAAACAGGGAGATGTGTTGACCAGGTGGTGGTGGCACACACCTTTAATCCCAGCACTCAGGAGGCAGAGGCAGGCGGATCTCTGAGTTTGAGGACACAGAGAAACCTTGTCTCAAAAACAAAAGAGAGAGGAAGAGAGGGAGGGAGGTACATTTTGGAGTAATTTGGACCTAAGCAGAGCCCTCTGGTATAGTTCCATAAGAAACTATATTGAGAGTAAGGATTTGGGGAAGGGAAAGTACATTATCTCCTTAAAGAGATACTTATTCCTTCCACATTTTTAGCATGATTTAAGGTGAATCAGCCTTCTAGAGGGATGGTCCCCACCAAGTGATTGACAGGTCCAGCTGGGTTGACTCTTATGTCTTGGCTTAGTTTGGAATGTTAGGTCTTAGGATCCCGAGGCCAGAGGTGGATTCTATTCTTTTGACCAGGAGGAAATAGCTCTCCTCTAATGGCCCTCCACAGAGCTCTGATCAATACTATTTGACATTCTTGCCTCTGAGTAGGTAATCTTACAATCATTTAGGAATGGGCTAAAATTGGGGAGTAAGTAACCCATTCCCACCATGAAAGTCTACAGAGCCAATTATGTTCACCAGGAAGGATTACTGTCCGGATTGAAGTTTTGTTGCCACCCTCATTCATTTATATACCTGGTCTGGCTAAATTGTTTGTCAACTGTTGTAAGCTAGTTATCTGGGAAAAGGAACCCCAGGTGAGAAAATGCCTCTCCATTCAGATTGCCTGTAGGCAAATCTATGAGACATTTTCTTTTCCTTTCTTTTATTTATTTATTTTTCTCTCTTTTTGTGTTTTTGGTTTTTTGAGACAGCTCTGTCTGTGTAGCTCTGGCTTTCTGGCTTTCCTGGCTGTCCTGGAACTCAGCGACCCACCTGCCTCTGTCTCCGAGGTTCTGGGATTAAGCATTCCCTTGAGTAATGATTGATGTGGGCTGGCCCAGCCACCCCACTTTGGAGTAGGGTGTGGCAGGTGGAGTAGTGCCGTTCCTGGGCAGGTGGTCCTGAGTTGTATAATAAAGACTGAGCAAGCCATGGGAATCAAGCCAGTAAGCAGTTCCTGCCTCCATGTTTCTGCCCTGACTTCCTCAGTGATAGAGGGTGACCCAAGAGTTCTAAGATGAAATATATCTCCTCCTACCCAGGCTGCTTTTGGTCTTGCTTATCACAGCAGTAGAAGCTGGAACTGAGACAAGCCTCCCTCCAGGCAAGGCACTCATTTAGGAGATAAGAAAACCAGAGCCCCCATTCTGGCATCCCTGCTGGGTAATGAAGGACATTCCTGAAATTCTTGTTTTGGGGGTCTCTGACCCTACACCCTACACTCCAGTTTCTACCTCCTGTTTGTCAGTAAGCCTGTCATACTACTACAGCCTCTCAATGCAGGGGACAAGTGTGCTGAAAAAGCTAAGGGATTAGACACTCATGGCAATAGGAAGAGACAGTGATAGCATCTCACCTGTGTGTTTTCTCTCTTCCATGTCCTGCTGCCCTATCAGGCCAAAGTGGAAGAGAGGATCCAGGAGGTCTTCAGTTCTTACAAGTTTAACCACCTAGTACCCAGGTAAGCTGTGAGTAGGGGCTGGGGGGGCCCAAGGGAACCTTTTATTGTTCCTCTTTGCCTTCATTTAACCAACCACAGAGCATTTCTTCAACCAGCTGGACTAAATCTCTACGTTACTGGAACTGAAAAATAGGCGGTTGTGAGCCGCCTAATGTGGGTGCTGGAAACCAAACTCGGGTCCTCTGGAAGAGAACGGGTGCTCTTAACCAGGTTATCCACGGTAGTTGAGATGCTGTGTGGCTTGAAGCTCTGTCCCACCTTGTTTAACATGTCTCCTGACTTCATCAGACAGTTAAGGAGGCCACAGAGGGAGGCATTCATTCTGTCATTTGCCTTGGAATGCTGGGGTTTGAACTCAAGAGTCTCGCCTGTATATCACACACTCTCAGCCTAGAAATAGCCCTTCAGTGTTCAGGGTGGGCAGCCTTAGGAATTCTGCTTAGTCCTTGGGCCGAGGACATAAAAGCCTTGTGAGACTGGTTCATCGGGAACAGGGTTGATTTCTACAGAGGCCTGTCTGTACTCTCAGGAGAGAGGTACCTGTTGCAGGACCCTGATGGAGACTTGGCCAGACTCTCAGCTAGAAGAGTCTCTTCTTAGCCTGCCAGGCTACATCTCTGTATTACCCACCGCTGAGACCTCAGTCGGAGGAGGAACTAGTCCTTTTGCCACAGCAGGAGCTCAGCAAATGACATTTATGCCAGCCGCTCAGCAGCTAAGAAAATCTATGCCGCTCTCGCTGCCTTCACACAAACCTGCTCCAGCCTCGCTTCCCCAGAAGTGGTTGGACTCGGTGATGGTGAAGGCTGTGAGTGTTTGGGAAGGCTTAGCCATTGTGCCCACAGATGACTCACCCGATGGAGCTCTGAGTCACTGTCTCCTGCCTGGGGCTCTGTGTTCCCACTCAAGGAACCTGTGACATCTGACACTCCTTCTCAGTCCCCATCCTTTGGACTCGTCATTCTAATGAGATGAGGACAGCTGTGGGGTCTGGAAGGGTTGTCTGGGGAGTGGTGAAGGACAGTAAAAGAGACCCCACTCCCAGTTCATAGAACTTCGGTCAGGTGCTGGTGGAAAACAAGTGTTCTTCTTTGGCTTGGAACGGTCTAGAAACAGAATATATCAGGTTCCTGTGTTTGTTTCTGGAATCATAGCTTCCAGTTTTATCTTTTTTTCTTTTTCCTTTCTCTTTTTTCCTGTTTTCAATTTTTTTGTATTTCTTTGTTTCAATTTTTGTCAACAAAAATGAGTGATTCTCTCTCTTTTTGGCTTTTTTTCAAGACAGGGTTTCTGTTAAGCTCTGGTTGTCCTGAAACTCTGTCTACAGACCAGGCTGGCTTTGAACTTAGAGATCCACCTGCCTCTGCCTGGCCATTGCTGGGGCTAAAATCATGTGACACCACCACCCAGCCGAAAATGAGTGTCTTTTAAAAATATTTTATTTACTGGCATTTTATGTGAGTGTTTTGCCTGCATGTAAGTATATACACCATGTGTATGTCTGGGACATGCAGAAGCCAGAAGAGGACGTCAGAGCCTCAGCACTGGAGTTATGATGGATGTAGGCCACCATATCCATATAGATGCTGGAAAGATTACTCAGGTCCTCTGCAACAGCAACCACTGAGCCTTCTCTTTAGCCCACAAAACAAGTCTATTTCTTTCTTTATTATTTTGGCTTTGGTTTTGGTGTTGGATTTCTGTGACAGGGTTTCTCTGTGTAGCCCTTGCTGTCACTCTGTAGATCAAGCTGGCCTCAAACTCACAGAGATCTGCCTGCCTCTGCCTCCCAAGTGCTGGGATTAAAGGCATGCACCACCATTGCTGGCCAAAATGAGTGTCTTAAAGGAAGATAATTAGCATGTTAGTTGATGTAGCGATATTACACATTTGGCTGAATAGCTGAGTATATAAAACAGTGAATCAATGTAAAGCTGAAGCTAAATTCTATAGAATGAGCTTCTGGGGTATAAGGATCAATCTGGGGTGTGGTACAGTATGCAAAGTACTTGCCAGAATGCACCAGGAATTCTGGGTATATTTCAATACCCAGGAACCTTCCCCCCCCAGGAATAAATCTGAAAATCTATCAAAGTTTTAAATTATCATTACAATTTAAACCTTTTAGTAGCCTAGTCTTGGCTAGGAAGTATAGTGAAACAGTAGAATATTTGTCTAGCATGTATGAGGCCCAGAGCTGCACCACAAAACAAAATGAAACAACCCCCAATTAACAACAAACCAAAGAAACAAAATCACGTTTAAGAGTCTGACACCATGATTCAGGGACGGACCTCATGGCTCGCCACTGTGCATACCCGGATGTTGGCAGTGAACCCAGGTGACATAGCCTGCTCGTGTTTCTAAGGTCATGATGTTGAGCGGATGTGACACACTGTCAGGACCACTGTCTGTGCACAGGTTCTGGAATGCCTGCGATGTGCTGAGGCCCACATTTGCTATTCATCCTGCTAGAGCCAAAGCCAGGAAACAGATGTGGCAGAAGTTCAAAGCTGACACTGAATGCTGCTGAGCTCTACAATTAACCTTCTTCCCAGAAATGACTTTACTGTCAGGAGTGGTGGTATATGTCTGTCATCCAAGCAGTTTAGAGGGGGTGGGGGTGGGGATCAGGACTTCACAGTTTTCTGCAGTTCAAGACTAAGACTGGCCTAAATTACAGGAGACTTTTTCTTAAAAAAAAAAAAAAAAAAAAAAAAAAAAAAAAAAAAAAAGATTTATTGCTCTTTATGACTGAAGTGTACACTTTCCTGGAGTGAGGTGGTCAGTACTAAGAAGCCTTCTTTTTCTCCTATTTTTATGATGTTAGGGGTTGAATTTAGTACCCTCCCTGCCTACTAGGTGCCCCACCAATGCCCTGTACTGCCGTTAAAATTGGGTCATGTTCAGTGGTGAGCCATCTCACTGGCTACTTCTAATACTTTTGTCAGCAAATGACAAATTACCCTCCCCCAAAGATGCTCAGGGCCACTCTCACAAGGTATTTAGACTTCCCTCCAGTAAACAGAGATGTGGTTTCCCAGTCTCTCTTTTTCATCTCTTCTCTCGGGTGGGGGCTGGAAAATCATCTGGGAACATTTTGCCCATTAAACCTGTTTGTGTGTGTGTGTGTGTGTGTGTGGTTTAATATTTCAGTTTGATTTGGTCTGATTTGGTGCATCGGTGGAGAGGCTTATCAGAGTGCACAAACTTTTCATCAGGTACTCTGTAAGGCTTGGAAAGTGGCCCTGAACAAGATGGGCCATGTCCTGCTTCAGCTGAGCTGGCTGTCTCTTGAGGGTATGAACATAACCACCAGTTATCAGTGGATGCCTGAGAGTCCAGGACACATATAACTCAGATGGGGGTCACCTTTCAGAGAAAGTAACAGTTACGCTGAGACCTAAGATGACCCATGGGATGAGTGAGTTGGCTAGCTTAGAAGTGTCTAGAATGTTCTAGACAGAAGGGACAACATGTTCAAAGTCCTGAGGCTGCAGGAAGCAGAGCTCAGTGATGTTGTGGGGGTGAGGTTGGAAGGAGAGGAAGCCAAGGGGGCTTACCCCAGAAGTACAGTCTGTATCTGTAGCTGGTCCTCTGGAGTGTCCTGGAGTCCCCCCCACCCCCCACCCCACCCCCGCTTGTCATGTGAGTGCCTTGTCCGTTGGTGCTCTGAACCCTTGTGCCATCCCTGTCCTCCCTCCCACCCCAGCCTCTGATTTCTTTTCCACCTGCTTGGCTTTGAGGCTGAACTCTTGGGGGTGGGAGGACCCTTGGCTCTTAACTTCCTACACAGAGAATGAAAGGGGAACGCTGGGGCTGTGAGTCAGCTTGGGCTGTGGTAACCAAGTGAAGACTGAGTGTTCTGAGACCAGGAACTTATTTTCTCACAGTTCAAGAGGTTGGACCAAGGTCAAGATGCTAGCAGGCTTGGTTTCTCCTAAGGCCTGTCTCCAGGATTTGCAGTTGGCTGCCTGGCTGTGTCCTCACATGGCCTTTCGTTTGTGCTCAGACTCCCCAGGTTCTTCCCTCCACCCCCAGCCCCTTGTGCATGCTGGGCAAGCACTCCACACTGGGGTACACTCCTAGCGTTCTTCCTCTTACTAAAACACCTGTGATACTGGGTGGGGCTCCACCCTTAGGATCTCATTCAACCTTAAATTCTTCCTTAAAAGTCTTACTTTAAACTTTAAGCACAAGTCACACCACCGGTTAAGATTTCAACATTAATTGGGAGGGGGCAGGAAGGCCACAATTTAGCTCCTAACCGTAGCCTTTAAGTATAATTTCTGACTGACCAAAATAAACTGGACACTTCAACTTAGCAATATGTTTATATGCTTATAATTAAATGGATGAGAATGAAAGAAGTTGGCTTAGGGACATGGTTACTGGAAATACTCCCTCCCTGCATCCCCTTACCCTCCCATGCCCACCCCAACATATGTAGCTGAAGTTTCCCTTCAGACAGAACCAGCTGGAAAACCTTAACAACCCCTTTCTCAGCAGGACTCCCGGGGCCTGGCTGTCTGTGGGGAGGCTCAGGAGCTTCTTAGGAGGGGCTTATCTTTGAGCTATCTCTTTCTCTAGGCACCAATCTGAGGTAGATGAGGAGTTGATAGAGGTTTCCCTCCATTAGCTAGCTGTTCCTGCAAAGTAGGGGTATAGACAGTTTACCAACCACTTCCAACAAGCTTGTTGGAAGTTTGTTGCCCTTTGGAGGACAAAATCTTCAGCCTCAGAACTCTTTGGTTTTTTTAATGACCCAAAAGCCCCTTGTCACATAAAAAGATTGTTCAAAAGACAAGGAGTTTCAGTATTTGAAGACATTTCTTTTACATTTTTTTATGGTGTGTGCGTGTGTGTGTGTGTGTGTGTGTGTGTGTGTGTGTGTGTGTGTGCACGCGCGCAAGGGGCACATGCATGTATGGGTGTTTGGAGGTCAGAGGACAGTTTGCAGGAGACAGTTTTGTTCTCCCATGTGGGGTCCAGGGATTGAACTCAGGTCATCAGACCATGGTGGCAAGTGCTCTTACTTGCTGAGCTGGCTCATTTCTGTATGTTTGAAGGATTTGTTTAATTGTTTAACTCACTAAAAATGCCATGTATGATGGCACATGCCTTTAATCCCAGCACTCAGGAGGTAGAGGCAGATAGATCTCTGAGTCTAGGTTAGTCTGGTCTACACAGAGAAATCGTGTCTCAAAAAGCCAAAACCAACAAACCAACCAAACAACCAACCAACCAAACAAACAAAACACATCCAAAAAACCCCAGCCAAAGCCTGGCTTGTGGTACATGCATGTAGCCCTAGTACTTGTGGGGGTGAGGCATGAAGACCTTCAGTTCAAAGCCAACCTGGACTACTTAGGTTAGACTTGTTCAGTTAGTAGTCCAAATACCATACTTAATTTTACCTGACTTGATTTCTTAGTCTCCATTAATGATCTTATTCGTTCTTGTCATAGCCATGCTAGCCCAAGTTTCCATCCTATTCAGGCTGTGCCAGGACATATGAGCTGTTTCAGAAATCTGCTTAGCATTTCCCCTCCCTCCTGCTTAGTCTGCTCTCCCCCTCATCCACCCCACTGCTGTCTCCTAAACAGTCCTAGCAAGGAAGCCAGGCGATAGCACACAGGCACAACATAAACCCTCAGGCTCAGGCAGAAGGATTTTGAGTTTGAGACCAACCTGGTTACACAGTGAATCTCTGTCTTTAAAAAAAAAAAAAATTACCAAGAATCCACCCAAAAATGTCAGCTGACTGGCTTCACTAAAATGTTTATAGTATGTTTATAGTTTTTGGCTTTCAATCCTTTCATCTCATGTAGATTCCCTAATGCCCTTGCTACAGCAGCCAGGCTTTAGCTCCTAGGATATGCATTCCTCATTCCCAAGAAATCAGGGGCTGGCACCCCACATAGTTTCCTCTGTCTGCTCTTCTCCACTTCAGAGTCCTAGATTTGGCTGGTTTCATACATCCACTTATCGCATCATTTCTGTCTCTGAGGATGTAGAATTCTTCCTTATTGGAGGGTCACGTCTCCTGCTGCCTAAACTACTTTAGTAACTACCTTTAAATTCTTTTACTCGCTTATTGTTGTTATTGTTATTGTTGTTGTTGTTGTTATTATTATTGTTATTGTTATTATTATTATTAGTGTGGGTGTGGGTGTGGGTGTGGTATGGGCAGGCCCATGTGGAGGTCAGAGGACTACTGTGGAACTGGTTCCCTCCTGCCCTTACACAGGATTCAGGGATCAAACTCAGGTCCTTAGGGTAGGATAGAAAGTGTTCCCTCCCCCTTTTTAAAAGTTTAAATAAAAAACAATCTTATTTCACATACTGATCCCAGTTCCTTCTCCCTCCTGTCCTCCCATGCTCTTCCACCCACCCCATCTCACCCCCCCCCATCCACTCCCCAGGAAGAGTGAGGCTATCCCATAGGAATCATCAAAGTGCTTTAATAGCCTTGGAAGTCTGGAACTCTCTGGCCTTGGACTGGCCTCCTGAATGCTGGGATTATAGGTACACATCACCATGTCCAGCTTGGTTTCTTTTTAGAAAAAACAATGTTTAGTGAAATACAGTTACATAAGTCATTGAGTTGAAATGTATAATTCATTGGTTTTAGTGTAGTCACAGTTATGTAACCTTCACCAGGGCTAATTTTTGAATATTTTATTGCCCTTAGCCTCTGTCCTCAGCTCCTTCATTTTCCTGAACCCTAGGCAGCCAATTAATCTGTTTTCTGTCTCTCAGGTCTTTCCCTTTGTGGGCGTTTATCATATAACATGCAATATTTTGTAAGTGGCTTCATTTGCTTAGCATGTTTTCAGGGCCATCCTTATTTCAGTGGCCCCCATTTGCTCTTAGGTTTTGCTTGTTTTGTTTTAGAGACAAATTCTCAGGATGGCCTGGGACTCACTATGTAGACTGAGCTGGCTTTGAACTAATAACAGCTCTCTTGCCTCTGCTTTCTGAATAATGGGTTTATGGACATGGGCTCCTATGCCCAGCTTTGTTTCCAGGATTTTTTTTTTCTTTTGTTTTGAAACAGGGCCTTACTTTGTGGCCCTGGCTGGCCTGTAACTTGCTATGTAGACCTGACATCTGGAACTCACAGAGATCTGCCTGTCTTTGCCTCCTGAGGAGGGGTCAAAGGTGTATGCCACCACACCCAGGGTTAATGATTCTGGAGGCTGGGAGCTGAGTAGCATGGCAGCATCTGATCGACTTCTGTGAGGGCCTTTGCTCTGTTTCAGCCCAGGGCAGAAAGCAAAAGGCAAGTAGCTGCCTGGGGAAGAGGTAGAGTGAGGCTTAGCTTCATAGAATAACAACTGATGCTTGAAAACAACCTACTCAGTTGAGAAAAGCGCTAACAACCCCTCAGTGAGTTAATGAATAGCCCATCTTAATGCTCAAAGACCCCGCCATCTCCTGATGCCATTATGGATTTTTTTCTGAGAATGGTCTTTTATGTAGGCTGGCTTTGAGCTTGTGGCCCTCCTTCCCTCTGAGTGCTGGGATAGGTGGATGGCACCGCCATTTTCTTTCTTACCTTCTTCTTTTTTTTTTTTTTAAAAAAAGATATTATTTCTATTCCTGCATTGGAAGATTTTTCTGAGGTAGAGACCACATTAGTGATCATATTCTGAGCAAAGAACAGTGGGAGTTCTGGAAACAATTGTTGAATTGACTACCTAGAAGAGAATGGTTCTCTTTCCCGTTATTTCCATAGTCAGCAGGCTTGGCGAACGTCTCCATAAAGGCCATTTTCCAACACTAAGCAAGAAGTCCCGCCTCTCTCTTTGCCCTCCCAGGTGGCCATGGGCAGCACATTCCATCTTAAAGCCAGTATTGCTGATCCCAGTGCCAGGGGTGTGAATGGCCGTGGAATACAGAAAGTAGCCTCTGGCCATGGCTGTGGGTCAGCATGTGGGAGGTGGAATTTTGGGACAGATGGACAGCCAAGGAAGGGGTGGGCAGGGAACAAAGTACAGTGGTCCTAGAAGAAATGACTGCGGTTGACCAAGTCAGGGAAGCAGCAAGGTTCTGAGTTAGATTGCTCACAGCAATCCCAGTCCTGGGCAGTCCCAGGATAACCTGTTCCTGGGTCCCGGGGGGAGCTTTCTGGATAGACTGTCACTACCTAGCAGTGTGTGTTCAGTGCAGGGCAGTCACCTCCTTCACAAGGTTAACATCTTCCAGGACAGTGTGTAGGCACAGCAGGGAACTCAGATGTGTGCCTCTTTTCCCTGGTACATACTGAAGTTACCAGGGATCCCATTTAGTGTGTGTGTGTGTGTGTGTGTGTGTGTGTGTGTGTGAGTGTGAGTGTGTGTGTGTGTGAGTGTGAGTGTGTGTGTGAGTGTGTGTGTGAGTGTGTGTGTGTGTGTGTGTGTGTGTGTGTGTGTGTGTAGTGGGAGCATGAGCTTACAGGTTCTTTGTCTTTCCAGGCTCATTTTGCAGAGGGAGAAGCATTTCCATTATCTGAAAAGAGGCCTTCGACAACTGACAGATGCCTATGAGGTAAACATGTTGCCAGGGAACGTTCTGTCAAGCACTGGGCATGCTCCTATTTGAACACAAAAATAGCTGTTGGTTTTCACCTGTTGCAGACGCATCTCTCGTACCACGTAGCTCTGGCGGCAAACAGGCTGCTGTTTCAGAGCTGGGACTTCACTTGAAAGGGGCTAAATAAGGTCTCCCTGCTCCTTGTTGGCCCCTAGAGCTGGTGGGACCCTGGATGGTCTGGGGCTCCCCACCATTTGATCATAGCATGCTTTATGGTGACTTCCTGGACATCTAAATTAAGGCAGGTGCCTTGTCGTCCCCACACCCCACACAACTGGCTATGGGACCAGTACTTGGATCCCAGGAGACACTAAACACAGATTCTCAGAGCCAGGAGATTCATGGGAGAACTGTGGTGGGGTAGAAAGGGCTATGGCCAGCAGTCCTGTCTCCCTGCCTCCCTTCACAAAGGGGAGCTCTGCCTTGAATTGGCTTTTATTTCAGAGTTCTGTATTTGATTTTTTTAAAGGATTATGTATTTATGTATATGGGGTTTTGCCTGCATGTTTTCACCTGCACACCAGAAGAGGGCATCTGTTCCCATGGGACTACAGTCATAGATGGTTGTGAGCCACCCTGTGAGAACTGAGAACTGAACTCAGGACCTCTAGTAGAACAGCCAGTGCTCTTAAGCACTGAGCCACCTCTCCAGCCCCTATATTTGATTTTTGTGTGTGTGTGTGTGGAGGGGTTTTCCAAGTCTCATGGGCAACCTGAGTAACACAGTCTACACCCCACCTGCCCTGTCCAGCATGGGGTGGGTACTCAGCAGCCACGTCTGACTTGAATTAGGATCAAGGTCTGTCCACACACATTACCTTCAGAAGCTTTTGCCCGGTCTCCACCCACACTCAGCCTCCTCCAGGTCCTCAATGCTATTCCCGCTCACAGCAGCACTTAACACGTGTGTGTGTGTGTGTGTGTGTGTGTGTGTGTGTGTGTATGTGTTCACATGTTCCCCTTGTTCTAGAAAGACATGGGGCAGCTTACGCATATGTGTCTACTGCCTCCTTCTCTAGTACAGTCACATTGATATTCTACATGCTGAGCATCCCGAGACTCAGAATCAGTTTTCCATTATGACCATGCCCATAACGTATGTAATGCTTGGCACAAGTAGATACCAAATATTGCTGAATCTGTAAATGAATGAATTTAAGATTATGTGTTTCCTTGGGTCTGCACTAGGACAACAGCAGTTTTTAACTTCCCTGTGTGTAAGTTTTCTGCTCAGACTTGCTTGGACATCTGCAGGGAAGGGACCGGCTGGGTTTGAGACTTGTTTCCTATTGTTGTTTTGTCACAGACAGACTTTTCATCTCCTGGCTAAGGCCACAAAGCAAAGCATCTTTCATTTACTGATTGCTGTCCAAGCAAGGGTACCTCCTCCTCTTGCTAGGCTTCAGGGGCTAAGACAGACGTAGCCTTGTCCACAAGATCTTGGAGCGACTGAATAAAGGGTGTGCTTTCTCCTTGTCCACAGTGTCTAGATGCCAGCCGCCCCTGGCTCTGCTACTGGATCCTGCACAGCTTGGAACTCCTAGATGAGCCCATCCCCCAGTTAGTGGCTTCAGAGTAAGTCTGGTTTTGGGGAACCTGGGGTGTCCTCTCCAATCACATCTTGGATTTGAAATTCTTTTTGTTCCTCTTTTATTTGTTGTAAATGGGGAGGAAAGGGTGTCACAAAGAAACACTTGCCCTTCCCTTGACCTCCAGCAACTTCCAGGAACTCCTCCACTCCAAAGCCTGTTGTGAGCTGGTGGGTAGAAGGACTCTTTGAACTTCCAGAGAAGTTCTGTTCCCCGTCCCCCCCCCCCCCCGTGGCCCTTTCTCTCCCTCTCCCCCTCCCCCTCTTTCTCTCTCCTTTTTCTTTTCTTTTAAGGCAGTGTTTCTTTGTAGACCTGGCTGTCGTAGAACTTGCTATGTAGACCAAGCTGGCCTTGAACTCACAGTGATCCACCTGCCTCTACCTCCCATGTATTCTTGCTGCCATCTGTAAGAGTCTTCACCATCATCTCTGACAGTCGTGATAAAATGTGTGTTTCAGAGCTGTTATGGAAAGCATTCACCACTGTGTGAATCAGAATATTCTTGCCTTCCTTGAATACCTCCATGGCGGTATAGTGCTTGGGGACAGACCAGCTCTCCACAGGACTGGAGGGTTACTGCTGTAGTGTACCAGTGCCATGACTCACATTTTTAATAGACCTCTGATTGATGACTAGACATGTAAACAACTTAGATGTGTCCCAAGCTGCTGGTGCAGATGGCTCTTGTGAAGTGTATCTTAAGGGAAAAAAAAAAAAAAAACCCCAAAACTGATCATGCCTCCAACCTTGGAAATACCTGAGATAGGAAAGGATGGCCAAGATTGAACCTAAGGGTTTACTGGGAGCGTGTCCTTTTGGCTTGTGTGCCTCTGCTCCCTTGTACTCCCAAGGGTGAGGAGTTTGGGACCCAAGGACCCAAGGCAGGTTTGTTTTCCCACAGCAGAAGATGGCAGCTGAGCCAAGATTGGTGGAGGCTTGCTAGAGCCCTCCCTAGTCCCAGAGCCCCTGCCTCGGTCACATTGTCAGGTCAGAAGAACAGAACCCCACATTGTCTCATTCATTCTCTTTAACAATAACCTCTCATTCTTGCCTTCCTGGGAAGGGTGTCTTGTGATGAATGTGGATGGAGAAGATAATAAAGAATCAAGCCATTAACCCTTAGAATTTGTATTTCTGAGGCGGAGGGAAAATATGCATTGTTTTTATAATCCAAATATTGCAACAAGCCTTCTTGCTTCCAGCCCTGGAAGTGGAGTTGGACATGGTTTCTGCAGTAGCAGGAATTTAACTGTCAAAATAAAGGCGCATGTGTTTTTGAAATACCAGTTGGGGGTTGAGAGTAATTTGGGAAGCCCCCCCCCCCAACCCAACACCCACACTGTCAGGATGTACGCTAGAATAGGAAAGAAAGATGCGTATGAGAGACGGGAGGATTCAGGGAGAGATTCGTGGAGGTCTGAGAGAGGAGGTCACAGAGCCTGCGAAGTGCAGAGACCAGGCGGGGCTCCTGCAGTGAACAGCTCAAACCATCAGCTTTTGTTTTTGTTTTTGTTTTTTAGGTTATATAGATGGTCCTTTTTTCAGTGTCTTATGTGAGGAAGTCAGTGTCACAGCTGCTTTTGTGGCAATGCCACCAGATAGGAAGAGAGGTGTGTGTGGGATGGCTTAGCAGGCACCTGCCTCGATGTGTGATGACCTGAGTCTGACCTGGGACACCCATGGTGGGAAGAGGGAGACATATGGGAAGAGGGGCCCCTTTAAAGGGCTTTTCATAGTGAGCAGCATCAGTAGTGAGAGATGCTTTAAAATTCACTTGAAGTTTAGGTGGATCAATTGCATGGTAGTACATGAAATATTCAGCCATTTAAAGATTTTTATATTTGTGTATATTTGCATACAAGAATGTGTATGTAAAGGGATATGATGTGAAAACACATGGTTAAAAACATCAACCATTATAGAGCATAGATAGATGGGAAGCCAGGTGTAGTGGGGCACACTCAGAAGGATGAGGTAGGAGGATTATCTAGAGTCAGGCCAGCAAGACCTCTTATAAACACAGACAGAAAAGGGCTGTGGCTTTACTACGGTGGTGCAGAGCTTGCCTAGAATGGCAGAGGCCTTGGGTTTGATCCCTTACAGTGCAACCTATCCCCATATCAAAAGGAAAAAAAACAAAAACAAAAATAAACCAAACAAAAAATAATGATGATTATGTACAGAAAAACAAAACAAAAACTCAGGTTACATGTACATGTGCTACAGTTCAGTCTGGATAGTGAGACTGAAAGTGGTTATAATATTTTAGCTGGGCACCCCTTTAATCCCAACACTCCAGAGGCAGAAACAGAGGCAGGTGGATATCTCTGAGTTCCAGGCCTATGCAGTGAGGTCTGGGACAACCAGAGTTACATAGTAAGACCTTGCCTCAAAAAACAAACAAAAAAAGTGATTACAAATTTTTCAACTCTAAGCTTATTTGGGTTTCCTACAGTATATCTTTATTATTGTATTATTAAAAGAATGTTTTAGCCAGGTGCTTTTAATACCAGCACTTGGGGAGGCAGAGGCAGGCATATCGCTGTGAATCTTGAAGCCAGCCTGGACTATATAGGGAGTTCCAGGCTAGTTAGGGCTACATAGTGAGACCCTGTCATCCCCTCCCTGCCAAAATGGATATTTTGAAAATAAAGAGCCAATTTGTCTCAATTTTGAGAATCACTTTAATAATTAATGGCTAAGAGTTTGTTTCACAACTGCCTTAAAAGCATTTATTCATGGTTCTTTTGAGCATTGATTTAATAAACCTTACTTTTGTTTTTTAATTCATTTCTGGTTTTAGAGACAGATCTTACTTTGTAGACAGAAACTCACTCTGCAGCCCAGGCTGGCCTTGAACTCATGGCAGCTTCTTGCTTCAGTCTCTTGAGTGCTGGGACTTCAGACATAAGCCACCACACTAAGTCCAGTTTTTCATTTCCAGTACTAGGGAGTGAATCTAGGGCCTTGTGCATGCTGGTAAGTGTCCCATTGTTAGGCTGTATCCCCTAGCTTGATTGTGTGTGTGTGTGTGTGTGTGTGTGTGTGTGTGTGTGTGTGTGTGAAATATATGCACATGTGTGCACATTCCCAAGCACAGGTCTCATGCTCGCACAGCAAGTCTCTTACGCCCTGAGCCATCTCTCCCGACCATATATTTTTATTTTGTTGTTGTTTTTGTTGTGTGAGTGTGGTATGGTGTGCATGTGAGAGTGCTGGTCACTGGTGTAGGCACGCCTGCACCGTGGCGCATGTGTGAAGGCCAGAAGACAACTTTTGGTAGTTGGTTCTCCCCCTCGTTCAGCAGGGGTTTTTTGTTTGTTTGCTTGCTTGCTTGTTTTTCCCTTGTTTCTGAGGCTCAGCACACTCCAGACTGGTTGGCTCAGGAGCTTCCAGGTGGTTCTGTGCCCACCTCCCATCTCCATGTAGGAGTGCTGGATTATATTATGTGTTCGAATCCCCACATCTAGCTTTTTGATGTCAGTCTTGTGTGACAAGTGCTTTTACACGCTGCACTTTCTTGATGGCCCCCAATTTAAGGAACGTTTAAATGACTTAAGACTTTTTCATAACAGTGCTTCATTTTTGTATTGTGCTTAGAACACTTAATTGATGGTCCAGATAATACTTACTATGGTCAGAACCTAGTTGCTCATTGGGAAGGAAATAATGATTTTTTTTTTTCAGACTGCCTAAACTAGAATAATGGCTTTTAATTTATCTATTTTATTTTTAATTTTTGGTTTATCCTTTTATCCATTAATGTACTCAAATATTGATTCCCTACATTTTGAAAGACTTTTTTTTTTTTTTTTAATTCTTTTTGTTTTTGAGACAGGATCTCTATGTAGTCCTGGCTGTCCTAGAACTCATTATATAGACCTGGCTGGCCTGCAACTCATAAAGATCCACCCGCTCTGTCCCTGAGTGCTGGGCTTAAAGACAGGTGCTTGAAAGATGTATTTTAAAAATTAATTTTAGAAAACTAAATCAGGACTGGAAAGAGAGCTCAATAGTTAAGAACACTAGCTGGTCTTCCAGAGGTCCTGAGTTCAATTCCCAGCAGCCACATGATGGCTCACAGCCATCTGTAATGAGATCTGGTGCCCTCTTCTGGCCTGCAGGCCTACATGTAGGCATGACACTGTATACATAATAAATAAATAAGTCTTTTTAACTAGACAGTCACTTTAACCAAGCCATGACATTGTCTGCAATAAATCTTTTAAAATCAGGGCAAGAGAGATAACTTAGCTTTTAAAGGCCGAGGGTTATAACCAAAACCTCAAGAGAAATAACAGTCACATTTCATATGTTGTGGGAGCTTGCAGTTGAAGACATAGAAAGATCTTGATTCTTGTGGGATTTTATTTAAAATTATTGTTATTTTTTTTGAGACTAACTTTCTCTGTGCAACAGTCCTAGCTGTCCTGGAACTTGCTTTGTGGACCAGGAACTGGCTAAGATACTCCTGCCTCTGCTCCCAAGTGCTGGGGATAAAGGTGTGTGCCACGTTACCACCGCCTGGCTTAAAATTTTTATTGTTTGAAATAATTAAAAATATTTAAATAATTAAGTTAAATATAATCACATTATTTTCCTTCTCCCACCCCTGTGGCTTCTCCTGCCTATTCCTCCCTTGCTCCTCAGATTCATATCCTCTTTTCATTTATTTTTCACAAGGAAAGGGAATGCTTTGAAATGTGGTCTGTTTCTCCCACCTACAAATGTTAAGGTGACCTTGCAGCAGAGAGCCAGCTTGGGAGTTTTAATAATTCCCTGCCCTCATCTCCAGCGTGTGTGTGTGTGTGTGTGTGTGTGTGTGTGTGTGTGTGTGAGAGTGTGAGTGTGCGCGTGCACATGTGAAAGGTTTCTCCTCAGCTCATTTGTGTAGGAAGTAGTATAAGCTGCGCTCCCTCTAGTGGACAGAATCACTTCTGTGCTGGCTGACCAAGGCTAGCGAGGCCAGGCCTTTATTATTGCAGG